CATATTACCTCATAAGAGTTAATAAGATAAATATAAATTTTATTTTGAGAAACAGGAAAGTAAGCAAAATTTTAGGTAAAAATATTTATCAATTGTATCTAACGTACATGCAACCGCATGAGTTTGTATGGTTAGTTCCTTCAAGTCGTAACATGACATGTGATGCTTTTTTAATTAAATTGACCTATGTACAAATGTAACAAAAGTGGAGGTGTTTTTTTTAGGGCTCAGCGGGGGAAAAGCCCCCCACCTATTTTTTTGTATTAAAAGGATGAAAATGGGAACAGAAATACAGGTGCAGGAGGGGTGCAAAAGGGAGCTTGCAAAGCTCAAAACTAAAAATTACCGAGAACATTAAACTATATTCTTAGGCTTGGCCTTGATGCAAATCAAGCCAATCTCGGTCCTGAAAAGAGCCTTCCAGCTGTTTAGGGTGCAAGGTTTGCCATCGAAGATCAACCCATTTCTTGAATTCCAAATCGTCCAGCAGGCAGTGATGAGAATCTCTCTCTGAAGATGGGGCTGCCGAAGTTGGTTCTTGCTTCAATTAACATATCCAGTGGTGGCAAGCTGAAATCCCAATGTATACCGATGTGGTTCCAAAAGGAGAGGCTGAAGGGACATTCAAAGAAAAGATGCATGCAGGTCTCTTCCACATTACTATTACAGATGGCACAGTTGTAGTCATCAAGATACATATTCTTCCTTCTTAACAAGTTCCTGGTGTTTAGTCTGTCCTTGAGGAGTAGCCAAAAAAAGAATTTATGCTTGCCAAGATTCCCAGCAGACCACATCCATGAGAAGAGAGGGGAGGCAGCTTCAGTTCCTTGGAGACATTTATAGGCTCTTTTTGAATAAAACTTAATGGAATTCCAAGTATAGATCCATATATAAGCAACTTCCTCATCCCAGTCATGCAACTGCAGCAACATTTCTAGAGCTTCCAATTCTTCAGAGGCCTAGGCTGAAAGTGGTAGGAAAAAATTTGCACTGAGGTCATGGTTCAAGTAAAATCGGACTGAACATTTCTTCTTCTCGGCAAAGGAGTAGAGGTGAGGGAACAGATCTTTAAGACAGTTGTCGCTCCAGACATCTCCCCAGAACAGAACCGAGTTACCACAGCTAGGATTGCAATGGCTCAAAGCTCTAAACTCAACATGTAGCTTGAGGATATCCTTCCACCAGAAAGAACCAACAGGGCATCTAGCATGAGGTGGTGTGTTGGTATTGTGATAGAGCTTGTTCCAAGTCAAAGTTACCCAAGGGATATCTGCATGATTGAAGAACTTGTCTAGAAATTTCAGAAGGAGAGCTTTGTTCTGGGTTCTGATGTCAATGGTACCAAGGCCACACTCATCCTTTGGTCTACATGGAGGTGTGTTTTAGTTGTTTATATAATGAAATTGGAACGTGTTGGTATTTAAATTATTTATTTATTTATTTTTATAATCCTGACATTAGTATTTCTATGACTTAGTATTTTGCAAATGTACGTTGGTAACATTAGTATTTTTATAATCCCGACATTAGTATTTTTATAATCCCGGCATTAATATTTTTATAATCCCAACATTAGTATGTTTATAATCCTGGCATTAATATTTTTATAATCCCGACATTGGTAATTTTTGTGATCAGTCATTAGCTTTTGACACTTATTTATTAGATTTATACCATCAGATGTGTTCATGTGGCATGTTCATTTAAAGGAATTCTGGAGGAATTTGGATAGTTTGGAGGAATGCTGGAGGAATTTGTGAGACAAAAATACTATTTCGGATAAAAAAAAAGCGGATCAAGCCGGGTTTAAGGGCACGCGAACGGGGCCGATGTACCTCTACGGTGCCACGTCTGGCACGGTCACAAGGCTGCTACACCAGTTTGGAGTATGGCGCTGTTGCATGCGTATATGCTCATGTTGTACACGTACACCCGCATATGGCAAGAAACAAGCAATTCTTGAAATAGATATCGTGTACACATTTGTTATTTTGTTGCCTTTTTTGTTTTATTTTTTCTAAATATTTTAATTAATTACTAATTACTTAATTATTGCACGCACTTCAAAAATCAAGGGCTAAGATTTATTTGAAATCTTACCTCCTATAGAGTAATGTTTGTACCTTAGCAAGGCCCATCTATGTTAGTGGATGATGTGTCACACTCACGTGGATGATTTGCTTGAATGGTGGGAATGTAACAGCACACTCAACACATTCATGTCACCTTTTAATGTGAAATCTCGTGTTGTATGATAATAATAATAGTACTAGAACATATAGTCCTTGTTTATTGGTTAACCTTAACTTTGGCTTGCAGTTGTTGTTGTGAAGTTTTTCTAGACTTTGTTCGATGTTTACCTGCTCATTAGGATACTATATCTTGTTGGTTGAAATTTATTTACCTGCTCCCAAAATTGTTGTTAATCGCTCTAGTTTCCATCTCTTGTGGTGGCATATCAGGTAGTGAGGTTTTGGCGTGGTTGGAGGCAAGGTCCTAGGTGCTCGCTGACGCCACTTCAAATAAATTTTTGGGAGAGTAAATGATATTAAATCGAAAAGTCATCAACTACAGATTTTTAGAACTGATCACGATCTACAACTTTTATTTTGGTCATTTCTCTATTTGGATTTGTTTGAACAATTTGAAATTTTGAATTCTAGATGAACTTCAATTTTCTAGTATTTTTAAGTTTTTCTCTTCCGAATTCATGTAAAATTTGTTAGTATTTAGTCCTAGGTACTCCTATTATGTTATTAAGTTGGAGTGCAAGATTTGAGCCTTGTGAGACTGTCTGTGAGCAATTAAAAGCTGAGCAAACCTTGAGCACTTCGTGGCAACATCAAGTTTCAGTGTGATGCATTTGTTACTTTTTGAGCTTTGCTAATAGACGACTAGGTATTGCCCATGAGCAATCAATAAGATTGTGGTCCTTTCACGCCCACTCTAGGCATTGTTCACGTTCTTTCACAATAAAAGCATGTTCTCATATAATTTTGGACCATCCATAGATATTTATTTTAGATGGAAAATGAGTGGCTTGTGTTATTGGTTTCTCTAATATTTTATTATTTTTTCTTCTATAAATTCATAGTGCCGTCCATGCCTACTTGTTGCAGGTGTGCTCCAGTCCAAATTGGGGAGACGTGGACACTCATTTAATCTTTCTACTATAAATAGTCTGTTACATAGTACTCCCTTCAGCCCAAACTAAGACATTTTGACTTTTCTAGATACATAGTATTTATGCACGTAAATGTACACTTTGTTTAGAAATATAATTAAAATAATGTATCTAAAAATCTAAATGTATTGTAATTTGGAACCGAGGAAGTATATAATATAATTTCACTTATAGTGCAATGTTAGGTTATGCTTTTGTGGTTTTATGTGGCCTAGGTTCAAATCTTCCGTTGAACAGCAGGTTTTGTGGTTTTATATGGCCTTGGGGAATGTTCGGTTGAACACCTTTATTTACTCTTGTTTTTGTGCATTTTCTCCAGGACAAAGTTATTGCGCGACCCGTTGCGCATTTGGGAAACGTGTGACCTGTCTTCTTCTCCACTGCGACGCCCCCTTCCTTGCGAATCTGCCCGCCACCCTGCCGGCCACCACCCCTCTGCGGGGCGCTAGTGTTTGGCTGAAGCTCCGCGGTGGCCTCCTTCTTCCCTCTCCCCCCTGCCTCTCGCCGCCGCCATGGCCATGGGCGCCCCCGCCCGATCTGGCCCGGTCGCCTCCTACGCCGCTGGAACCCTAATATGTCGCACTCCCACTATCCCCACCGCCTGGCCACCCGGCCTCCCCCAAAAGCTTCTTCTAAGCCTGCCGGTGAGGACATGTACAAACCTTGAAACCATAGCCGCCGCCGTGTCTTCTCCTCTGTCTCTGGAAGCCACCACCGCGTCTTCTTCTCCGTCTCCGGTGGCTCACGAGCGCCGGCGCAGTCAGGTGCGGACGCGTGTGTAGACCTGCATAGCATGGTCGTGCCCCGGTGCGACGGGTCGCTTGAAAGACTTTATGTTTTCTCTAGCAGATGGGGAAGACTGTCCGTGTGGACTCATGGTTTCCTCAAAAAGATTTGAAGTCCAGCTGGGTTGGTGCTGCTGTGGGAAGCGCAGGGCTCAACGGGTTGGAGCGGGCCGAAATGGTACCGCAGGCCAGAAACAAGGAAGGAGAGAATAAATATTTTTTATTTTATATATAATATAGAACAAAGTTTTTGCTGCATTTCCAATTCATTTTAAACTATTTAACTATCAAAACTTTCAACCCTTTATAAAATAATTTTGAAAATAAATTTAAACTATTTATGAAAACAGAACGTTGGATAGATAAGTTACACACTGTAGAAAACCGTTCCAATCTAGACCAAACCATTTTGATTATAAAACCAACCCAAGCGGAACCGTTGGTAGGCTGAAATTGTTTTGCCCGATCCAATCAAGACCCACAGGTAAAACCAAACCACATGATCTGATTTCAATCCAAACCATTAGCAGCTTTATGTACATCAACCTCACTGTCACTGTTGCTTTACCCCCTCTACATCACCTAGCTGGTATGCACTCTATGTCAACCACAGTGTTTAATTCTGCACTCTACACAAAAGTCATCCTGCGTCCGTGTCACTCTTGACAAATTTCTGCGATGTCCCTCTCACAATTATAGTACCTCTCTATATGTGTGATCACAATTCACAACTGCCTGGCTGAACAGGCAAGATTCCCCAACCTCTTGTGTGTGCTATCATGGTTTTAGACTGTCAAATATCATAGTGCTGGTACGACTTTCTGTGACACTACAACTAGTTCAACTGTTCAACCACACCAGGTTTTGATTTCCTCTCCGCACTTGCACTTTACAAGATCGATTAGATTTTAATCTGATGAACAGGGACAATCTGGCTCGTATTATGTATGGAATATTTTTCTTTCTCTCTCTGTATGCAGGACAACCGATTCTACAACAGGTTTGTTTGATCAATCTTAATGGCAGCAGAGATGGTCAGTTCTGCAGTGGCCCAGGAGGCTGTTAACGAAGTCTTATCAAGAATCAAGGAGGGTTATCAGGAGGACAAGTCAGATGCAAAGGAGAACATTGAGAGGATGGAGATGGCACACATCAAGATGGAGGCCGTCCTTGAGACCTCCAACAAGTGGAACGTCACCAGTGCACCACTGCTGCGTTGGCGGAGCAAGCTCAAGCGCGCCTCACAGGAGTGCGACAACACTCTGCGCAGGTGTAGGCAGCGCTTGCAAGAAGAGGAAGAAGTACAGCGAGCTGTAAGGAGCTCATCCTTTCCGAAGAGAATCACTCATACTGCCATGTCATATGTTTCGTTAATCTTTAGTCGCGGTAACGATGATGAGCTGAGAGGATCCACTGCCACCCGGAGATTCGAACGGTTTGCAGAAGGTGCGAACGAATTCTTGAGGTACGTGGAGCTTGGTGGTACACCATGCAGATACTTGTTTTTTGACCCTCTTATACGCCATCTTCTTGCTGGCAAAGGCACAAAGTATTGCCTTGTTAGCAGGGGTCAACATCTCTCATTTCTTCTACAGCCCTTTAGTCTACCAGAGCATGGGATGGAGGTTAGCCTAATATTCTTACTTGAGGATGCCAATGCTCCAGAGAATAATTTCCTTCTAGCCCTCAACTTACAGCTCTCCAATAGTACAAACATATTTGGGGTTGTAGTCAGATGCCTGCACCTGTTCACACCTCACTTAAGGTCAACAGTTGAGACTGTGAAGACAAAGCTCACCCAGGTACCAACACAAGACTTGTGCTGGGTGTCTGATGCTTATTCTATTTTTGGCCATTGTATTGAACACCAGAACAATCTTCACACCATCTGTTCTAAATGGTTCCGACCAAACCCTCTTTGTTGCCAGCAACAAGATCATCACTCAGCCCAAAGTGGCTATTCCATAAGCTCATCATCAGAATCTGTGCCATGTGATATATACATGGAACCTGTTATCCATGTGTATTTGCTAGGCCATGTCGCACTGTCTGTTGGGAACAACAGGCAGAGGGCAGTTGCCGATGGTGAAAGCAAACCAACAAGCCCCATGAGTGAATTTCCTTATCTGAAACTTGGAGCGCATTTCTGTCCCCATTCCTCTTCTGAAGATTTGTTGCCTTCAGTGGAGGGTTCGGCAACAGAAATTATCAATGGGGTGGCCGTGCAACATGGCTTGTATGCAAAATCAAAATTTTCCTTTGAACAGTTGGGCGACATTATGATACCAAAGGCAGTAGATTGTCTTCGTGGGAGTGTGGCAGCTACCTCATATCAGATGCTGTGGAAGTCAAAGCATGGCAGCGCATACCTTCAGGTCGAGAAGATCTCATGGGGACTAACCATTAGGAAAGGTATGGGTGGAAAATGTCCTAAACGACAGCAGGGCAAGAAGGTACAGGGATGGACAAGTGCGAACAAAGATTTCATGAGCTCATGGATTGCGCATGCGCCAGCCCACTTGCAGAACTCAGTGGTGGACTGGGTTCAGAAAGAAAAGCGATTGCCGCTACCGTTATTATTGAAAACTAATCCTTGCATCGACAATTGTCCAATCATGTTGATTTGTCTGCAATGTATCAGATCTTTAGCAAGGAAGATCAAATTGTTCAGCAAGTTCAATGCCTAAAGGATTTGATGTTACTAAGTGTGTGTCATCCGGGCATTAAGTTGTAGAGGAAGCTTGTCATGACGGAATATTCAGATCGATTTAATTAAATGTTGTCTGTTAAGCAATCTCATGTGTTACTTCGGTGTGTAAGCCTTGTTATGTAATCGATTACTTAATTTGTATGGACAAAACGAGAAAACTGTAAATTGATAGATAAAAGAACACCACAAGGACCGATCGAGAGTTTCCCAACTTGCTCTTCAAGGCTCTTCTCTTCATAAACCCTACATCTAAAATCCTCTGGACCCTATTTATTCTTCGGTATGGTATCAAAACCAGGTTAACTTTGTTGATTGCAATCTATTTTCATTGATTTTTTTTGTGCTTATGGTGCTACGAAGCCGCAATTTGGTGGTCTTCCTGCAATGGTGGGATGCGGCTATCTTTTGTTCTTGTTGCTGGTTGAGGTAGTTGACTGGGAATGGATCCAACCAAAAGGATGATCTAAGGGCGTTATAGTGGGAGTCAAGATTGACTCCTTTGAGATTGATTGTGGCCCTTTTATAATTTTTTATCCACATGACCATAAGAAAGAAATATGGTCAACTTTATTCCTTCTTTGTTTCCTGAACCTCTTATAAACTTATTGCTCGCCTTCTTTTAATAAATATTTAGTATTCCACCACTTCGGTGTGGCTCAAAAAATAAAGTAGAGTAACTTTTGGTGGGATATTATTATTAGGGGCTAAAACACTCGGAATAAACCATATTCCGTCTCAGTCCAATTTCTACATTCAACCCATATGTATTTTTTTATGGTTATCCTGACCATTTGTGTTTTCTATTTTTAGCACATTTGAAAATGGGATTCAAAATGTTCCTTTTTCGATCATTTCACTTTTCCCATTTTTGATTGGGACATCCCATTGTTACCAATGTGGAATATCCTGTTTTTAAGAAGTCCAATAGTGCCTAAAAGTCGCTCACACCACACAGCAGTAGCCGAGTCCAAGGCGGACTAGTGGTTGGCTTGATGTGTTGTGGACCAATGATCTTATACTCTTGTCATATGTTGTAGCTTACGGTATTAATTGGAATTTTCTTGAGTTGGTAGTTTCCCATGTCTGGCTGGTCAGCATGTGAAGACATGTTTCAAGACGACAATGCAGCGATGCAAGTATAGTGTCAAGGACAGGTTTCAAGGCAATGATATGAGAGGAAAAAAATAAACATATGTGATCAAGTGTCGAGGTGCCTCTCCACCCCTTCCGCCCTGGCACCCTCATGCCCTGTGCCCCCGACTGCTCGAGTAAGCCCGAGTGTGACATTCCAAAATCTCTAGGCCGACTAACATGGCGTGGTGTGGTAGCACAGGCTGCACAGCAGGGTGCAGGCGACGGCGAGGAGGCTAAATGCAGGGAGACAGGCGGCAGCTAAGTAGCTGTCTGGATTATTTTTAATGTGGAAATACCCAAGGTTGTTGAAATCATGGCTCCGCGACTGAGTAGAGAGCGGGCTTGAGCGTAATAGTGCAGGAGATCTAGACAATGGAAGGCTTGAGCGACAATGATGAGTCCATCAGAGGCCGGTGGCACAACAGCAGTGTTGATCTCTACGGGGGACAGGTTGAGCACGGACAGGGTTGGAATAGGGGAGGTGCAACGGGTGCGACGCCACTGCTCACTGCCGACTGGATCCTATGTTTCTCTAAATTAAAATTATTGAAAAACTATTTAAGGACATCTATGTCACGAGAAAGATTGAATGATTTGGCTATATGCTGCATTGAGAAATGTCATGGACACTACTGATCTCGACACTATCTTTAATGATTTTCCATCAAGAAAAGCCTGAAGAAAAGTGTTGGAGCTTATCCTGTTGCGAAGAGGATACGAGTGGGAGGTGATCGGACGTGGCTTAAACGCCCGGCGGCGAGGTGGCGGCGCCATGCTCGGCACCGGTTGCTAGGGATAGAGTGGGAGAGAGCGAGGGCAAGGGTGTCAAGGAGCGAGAGAGAGATAACTCTAATCTCTGGCTAATAACCTTCTCATTAATCAAACTAGTCCATCAGCGCGTGCCACGGGACAGAAGCTTAGAACACATAAGCATTAATTACTGTTTAATATACCTCGATCTATAAAAATATTAATATTAAATAGCATGTTTTCTCACTTTGGTAATTTTCTAACACAATAGATACTATGTGTAGTCTTTATCCAATTGTGATAAACATATGAATTACTAAATATTAGCTTAAACTATGGTGGCTCTTGTTGTAACACATATCTTCTGATGTCATGAATCTAAAATAAATTACAAATATTAAATTGCACATTTTTCATTTTGCTCATTTTCCAACACAATAGTCTCAACAGCTACAATGTTGTCTCTTTCTAGTTATGATAAATGTATAAATTACTAATCTATATGTTTTCCCATTTTTGTCCATAGTTTTTCCCTTTGCATCGCATCGCTATGACTCTGTGTAACTTCAATATGCATTTAGTTGAAACATTAAATTAAAAAGATAATATTAAACTATGGTGGCTCTTATTGCATCCCATATCTTTCGATGCCATAAATATAAAATTTTGATTTTCAAATTTAATCATATTAATTATTAGAATTTTTTTTTATTCTCAAACTAAGTTAAAACACCTATTGTATATTTATTAACTCTCCTTTTTGTAATTTAAAATAAGGATTTTAGGTTGCAAAGTGTTATGACATAAACAATAATTTAAAACGGGAACCACATCACTCAAAATCGAGAGTATAGCTTGAAGTGAGATCTAGAATGGTGCTAACCTAGAGAGAATATTAATATTTCCATTATATAATGATTGTTTACACTAAAGTAATCCCAAGGGTCAGGAAGATATAAGACACATATGGTCCGCACTACCCCCCACTTATCAAGTTGCATTTAAATTTATTTATCAAGAAATTATATGTGCAATAATGGTTATACTATTAATATAGTTAACATTTTAGTTAAAATGTACTTCCATTCAAAGTTATAGATTAGATTGTCTGTTTGACTTTTCTAGGTAGTAGCTTTTGCTATGTATTTAAATATATAATATGTCTAGATGCATAGCTTTACTATGTATCTAGAAAAGTAAAAATTTATTAAATATATTTCATAGTAATATAGTTTTAAATAGTGTGTAGTATCATTAGTATACAAGTTGTTAAGAAAATATTTTCATAGTTTCTAGAATATATGTATATATATATATATATATATATTCATCTCAAATATGCACATGTACTTGATATGTATGATGACATAATATGTATATTTACTTCAATAAAGTTCTAATATAAATGTAGAAACATATATGTGATTTATGGTAATTCAAATATTTGTTTTAATCGAAGATGATAACTTAGATGTAGATTTGAGGGGCTTTGTAGGCTTTTAAATAATAACAAAAGTGTTACTTTAGATGTAGATTTAAGTGGTTATAATATATTCTCTCTCATAATAGCAGGTGGGTAATTAGAATCACTTTAGATAGTGTTTTTAGTACTGGGTAATATAAATATAGATTCATTGACTTCTTTAACTATTTTACACAATCACAGAGGTGAGTCATTATTATAAAATAGGATAGATCCTAATGTCTATAATTTTGAATGGTATTAGACTCTATTGGCCTGATGACCTTACATCTAAATGGTTATAATAGATATGTATTTAGTTGAAATTTAATCATAAGTTACATAAGTTCTTGTTGCTTCCGTTTCTATAACTTCTTGAATCAATATTTTAGCTTTCAATTTTTAATCTAGTTGTTGAAATTTTTTAACCACATGTTTAGTTAAACCTAAATGTATACATGTTTACTTGCTCTGCATGACAGAACATAGCGAGCATTGAAGTGTGTAATTTTGAAATATATATAGCGTACTTTTATGGATATTGGACTATTCTAATATATTGTATTAGTATTTGCATATGGATATGAGAGAGATTTTTATTTTTAATAAATGTTGAGGTTGATAACTTCGATACTAACTAAAAGGTATAATTCTATATTATATTTTATAATTATATGGGTATAATTCTAACTAAAAGTAATGTAACTAAAAATGCCAAAGCATCTTATAATTTGGAGTGGATGGAGTATTTTTTTATTTGATGAACGATGAAAACAACTGGACGAACGATGAATAGATGGATTCCGGTTCCGCATGGCCGATGAAATTGTCTTGTTTTTTAGACCATCTCTTTAAGGTAAATACTTTAGCATTGTCTAATAGACGGTTTCATATACTACCACTAATCTTAGGGGAACTACTAAATTTTTAATTTGTGCATATACAAAGGTCCATTGTGGGTTGTATGACAACAACTCATACAATGATGCAACAGTGGTCCCATAGTCCTCAATTTTAGCTTATATAAAACAGTTATTTTGTGAAACAACATTTATCTCACCTTCGTCTTTTTCCTCTGCATCATAAAAAATATTACATAGTGATGATAAGACTAGCAATTTATTTGCTATTATTTATATACTGACATCACATCACCAAGATTAGCGATGGATGATCTGACGCTAAAAGCGGCTACAGCGACAGACAATCTATCGCTAAAAAGTTATATCGACAGACTTGTGCAGACGGTGTAAGTCCTGTCACTAAAAATCTTTAGCGACAGACGGTACTTTTAGCGATAGATAGTTTGTTGCCCTGAATATTTATAGCGACAGATAGTCCATTGCTACTTTTTAGCGACAGATGCTCTATTACCAAGCCTATACGATAGATCATCCAATAGTTCATGTATTTATAGCGACAGATTGTTCAACAGGACAATATAAATATACAAAAAATATATGATTAGAAAACATTTATAGCACATATAAAACCCATATTCAAGCTTAATGTCCATCACATAAAGATCTAGAAACACATACATCACATGAAGGTCAATAATGGATTTAACAACTCACTAATTCGCCGGCTAACAAAAGTTCAAAAAATACAATATACATGATAGCAAAAAT